TCCCGTGTGTCATTCTCCGTTTTAAGATCTTTCCCCATATGCTCCTAGACCACACGTACAGGACCCCCAAATAAATATGCTGGCGGGAAACAATTTCGCGAACCAGGCAACGTAGAAAGCTGAAACTTTGCAGGGATATTCCCTATGCACGTGTGAGATCAAAATTTTAAACTTAGCTCTCTAGCTCTCCGAGTACAGCCTCAAGCAGTCCCTCAACCCAAAAATCGTTAGCAACTCGGGCCTGAACCGCAACTGTATACGCAAATGAACGTGTATTTTTTGAAAAACGACCGTCCGAGTAATACTTTCAATTTTTAATGAGCTGAAAATTTGCATATTTTCAAAAATATCGTTCGCAGCTCGAACCTTAACCGCAGTCGTAAATAAGCGTAGATTTTTTGACAAACGACCGCTCGAGCAATACTTCCACTTTTTAATGAATTGGAAATTTACGTTTTTTCAAAAAATTCGCATTTGTCATTTTTTCACAAAGCGAGCATTTACCGAAAACACGACCGGACTTCATGCAAAAAACCGGTAATTACGCACCTGGATGTCCGTGCGGCTCTACAATGCACCACCTTCATCACAACTGACGCTCTTCATCCTGCATGTCAGAAAGGATTAAAGCACGGCCAATATGATCCAAGTGTTAGGCTACAGCGTAGGGATCATTCTTACTAATAGCGATCTGCGAGTTTAGTGCAAAAACGCATGATAGTAGCGGAGAGTCTGGTGCGTTCCAGCCTGGGTCATCACTCTTCCCATTCTCTTTCTTCCACACTTCGCCAGAATCCCGTTTAACTATGACCTTTGTTGCTTCACTACTTCTGGCACCTCTTCGGCCTTTTTTAATCCCCATTTCGGATATACCTAATAGCGAAGACAATAAAGTGACCGTTCTCTTGACATACACTCAGATGGATAGAAAAAATGGATAACTCACATTAATAGAAAAAGTGCATCGTGCAGGTGCGAGTTTTGTAAAATTTTGTGCATATTTTGAGTGATGGATCTCATTAGCGCGGCAAAGAAGGTGGAAGGAATGCTCCGTCACAAAAATCGCTGAATGGCTTCACTTTTCTCCGTTGTCTTATTCGTGAATTTATCAGAAAATGCTGACATCATATGTTTTCCTCTTTTTGAACATTTGAGGTGATCCAACATTCAGACATTGAGGATATTGGAGTTTGCAGAACAGTCGGTGCTGAGATCACTTATTGTTGATATATAGTGCAACAGATCATTACAAAACCTCTCCAGCACGGCTTTCAGTATCAAAATACAGTCAGAAAATTATCGAGAAAGATGCTATGCCAGAATTTCAACAATTACGATTTATTGTCATGCCTTCGTCTTGTTTCTTGCATGTCTGAACTGGCAGAAGTAAACTCGCAGACGATTCACTTCGTACTTCTCGTGCACCGCTAGTAGCACTGACATGGTTTGAATTCAAAAACCAATTTTCAAAACGAGCACGTCATTTTGTTCCCCGCTTGCAAAATTCCTTTTATTACCATCTTCCCGTGTTGAACCTGAAAATAAGCTTCCTACTATCATTTTGTGAGGGGACGTTAAGTGGTTACTGTGAATTGTATCAGAAGACCTAACCGATACTATGATTAAAAGATAAAAAGCTGAAGTAAACAAGTCGCAAATTGTAAGGAGAAGCTGTAAATAACTACAATAAATTATTATTACTGTTATTATAACAATAAAAAGAAAAAGTTGCATTTAAATAAGTTATAATAATTTCTACACAATCCATCGATTAAATTTTTAAGCGTTTTTGCTGTAATAACAGTAATAATAATTTATTGCGCTACTGCAGCCAGCAAAAACGCATATTGTCGAGAGGCTGTGTGTGTGTGTGTTCGGAAAGCGAGTGCATTTTTTATCACTCACTTTCATCTCAGCAGCCAAAAAAGCTGGGAGGCTGAAACTTTGGATATATGTTCTTGATCCATGTGTCATCCTCCCGTTTTAAGATCTTTCTCCACACGCACCTAGGCCCCGCGTACCGGACCTCCAAAGAAACTTGTTGGCAGGAAACGATTTCATGAACCAGGCAACGTGGAAAGCTGAAGCTTTGCAGAGATATTCTCTATGCATGTGCGAGCTGAAGATTTTAAGCTCAGCTGTCGAGCACCCCAACCACAGCCTCAAGCAGCTCCTCAACCCAAAAATCGTTCGCAACTCAGACCTGAGCCGCAATCGTATGTGTAAATGAACATTGATTTTTTGACAAACGACCGCTCAAGCAATACTTCCACTTTTTATTGGACTGGGAATTTGCATTTTTTCAAAAAATTTGCATTTGTCATTTTTTCACAAGGTGAGCATTTATCGAAAAAACGACTAGACTTTATACAAAAAACCGGTAATCATGCACCTGGATGTCCGTGCGGCTCTATAATGCACCACCTTCATCCCAAC